CCCCTCGGGAATGAGTGATAGCGTGCACTTAGAGGGGGTGTGCACTTAGAGAAACAAAGCATTTCATTGGTTGCACGCGATACCAATAAGAATAAAAAAATTTATTAAAATTTATTAACGTATTTATTATAATTAATCAATTACAACGTTATGTTATTATCACCAAAAAAAAAATTTATACAATTATTGATTAAGATAAGATTCTAAAGTACTTTGTCTCATTGCATTTATTGTTTTTAAACTAATATATCTATCAAGAGAATTAACCAGTTTCATTTGTTGACTAGAATTTTCTTGTTGTAATAAAAATGTACAGACAATTTCCAAGCTTTTTGAAGCTTCACTAGTACTTATCAATACTTGCTCGACACTATCATCTTCTTCATCTTCTTCAAAATCATTGATATCTATTTCTGGTTGCTGTTTATACATCTCCACAAGAGCCTCAATAATATTATCATCAGGGACTTCATATACAGAATTTTCTTCTGGATTATTCAAATATTCTTGAATAGGTATTGCATCATTTAGATTGAGAGCAGCAACTGCCTGAGAAAGTTGGTTTGTTGTTGGATCATTAATATCATCAGAGAAATTGGACAAATTAACATTAATTCAGTCTGGAAGAATTTTAGTATGATGCCAGCAATTATAAATGGTTTGTGATAACACTTCCTTCCAACTTTTAATAATAAATTTTATTGCCTGTAATACATCCATTTTTAAATTTTTTATATCATTTCCTGCTTCAACTTGATTTAGAATCCAGTTAATATGTAAATGGCAATAGTGTCTTTTAAAAGACATAATGATACCAGCATCCATTGGCTGGATTTTTGAAGTAGTGTTTGGGGGGAGAAAATGGACATCAACATTTGAAAGAACCAAACCATCTATTTTGTGACTTGGACAATTATCAAGAAGCAATAATACACACTGGTCGCCATATTTTGAAGCAACCTCTCTGTTGAATCCTTGGAGCCAATCTTGAAAAACAGTAGATAACATCCAAGCCTTTGTATTATGACAATATGTCATTGATAAGTTACTAAGGTCAACATTAATAAAGCATTGTGGTTTTTTAAATTTTCCGATTATTAATGGATCCAATTTATGTGATCCATCTGAATTAGCACATAAGGCAATTGAAAGTCTTTCTTTATTCTTTTTACGTCCAGAAAGTCTTTGTGTGGCTAATGTTCTATCTGGTTCTAATCTATAAAAAAGACCTGTTTCATCCATGTTGTATATTCTTTCAGGTGGATAACTACTACACATATTTTTCAATAATGGTAAGGTTTCAGTAATTGCGTTTATATCAGCTGATGATGCCTCTCCTTGAAGCTTTTGTACTTGAATCCCATTCCATTTTTTAAATCTATGGAGCCATCCAGAAGAGAAAGTCAATGTTCCTTCTGATACCCCCAATCCATTTGCTATTTTCTTGGCTTTTTCAAGTAAAATAGCATCGCTTAAGATTACTCTGTCTTGATAAATTAAAATAAACTCCTTAAGAGCAAGTTCAAGTTCAGGAACTGTTAGATTTTTAAGTCTTTTGGCGTCTGGATTAGTAACTTCAGCATTAAGTATTTCTTCTTTTTTTTTGCAGAATTCTTGTTATAGTTGTTTCAACCACTTTAATTCCCCATTTTTGTTCAATCCAATCAACATATTCTTTTCTAGTTAATTTGTTATTGCCAGCAAAGAAACAAAATTCATATCTTTGAGAATTAGATAAAGTTACTTTACTTTTTGGAGGCATTTTATTTAGAAGCAATAAAAGAATAAAATGTTTTAATGTTTTAATGAGATAAGTGTGTGTGAGTGCAAAAATTAGATGGTTGGATACATAAGAATATATAGGATAATTTATAATAAAAGTTTTTATTTTTTAAAATTTGTTACAAGAGTTTATTTTTTAAAATTCTTGATTCATGACTTATTTATAATAATTTCGACTACATAAGCTCTCTGTCTGTTTTCTTTGTTCTTTGTTCTAATAACCTTTGTATCTATTAAAAAGAAAGAATTCTTTAGTTTCTTGTCACTTAATAAAAATGAACAATTTTTTACCCACCTGTTACAAAATAATTCTTTATCATCTCTTACTAATAATAAATTTAATTCTTTATTCTTTATG